GCATGTAGGAAAAGGGATTCCCGCAAAGCACGCAACTAATGTTTGGTTGGGAAGATGATAAGATGGAGTTGAATTTTTATTATTTTGCATTTGATGGTCGGTCCGGCCCTTCGAATCCTGATTGCAGGAGCAAGGTCCTATCTTTGATGGGACACACTATTCACGAACTATAGGGATCGTAACCTCGGGAATACTTAAATGCTACTTGCAGATTTGCTTTGAGGTTTAATGAAAGGACCAAGAAACTACTCGCTGACACTCCTTTCTTCTCTGAAAAAAAAATGTAGAAAATGTACCATGGTGCTCGGAGGCGGCAACAGATTATGAATGTTGCCGCTTGCCGCCTTCACTCTTGGCGTCTCGTGATGCAATCGTGATATCATGTTCCGACTTCCAAATCCAATCCCAGTCCTTCCATCTGGCCAAATCTTCGCAGATCACGTCGACTTGAGTGCATCTAAACCCGTGTCGCTTATGACCTAGCTCAAGTACAAAAGTTGAAGACCGAAAGCAACATAATGAATTTGAAAAAAAAAACATTGTTCCCAGAAGAGACGGTAAGCCCAAAGATTGTTTTACAGCTCTTGATAGTGGTCAACACGGAATCCCCTAGTAAAAGGCGAGGGGACTGTATAATTGAGGACCACAAAGCTGCTACGTTTTGATGGTCATCTTCGCAGTTTTGATTTTGTCTTCGATGGCTGGTGCCACGTGGCTACCTTGCTTCTTCCTTACAATGTCACTCTCTTCAGCCGAGCGAGAAATTTTGATACGAGCAGCTTTCGAAGGTATCTGTGACTGTGTCTGGTATGTTCTCCATCCCTAACTATTATTCAGCAAAAGACAAAGCATATAGTCCTTATTCTCACTTTCCTGTGGGTGCCGCTCTACTGGCGCAGGACGGTGCTATAATACAGGGATGCAGCGTTGATAATGTGGCCTATGGTGAGTGTGTCTGTCTCGCTGAAAAAGGCCAAGAACTTACATTACTCAGTTGATACAATCTGCGCTGAACGCGTGGCTATTGTCAAAGCCGTTGTCAGTCCAACGTGAATCTAGTATTACCCCGGCTCACTGACCTTCGAAGAGCGAGGGAATCGCAAATTTTCGAGCGCTCGCCGTCACATCGTAATGACTTTTACATTCTTTCTGACGACCCAATTGACAGCCTTGTCAGAAATCTATTTTCCGCGATATCGCCATGTGGATTGTGCCGTCAAGTCCTGCGCGAGTTTTGTGATCCTTGCATGCCAATTCTCCTCGTCCCAGGCGATTATCCTTCTTCTGACGTCAAAGAGACGACTCTTGGGGAACTATTACCCTCGTAGGCCTGACACTTGGCAATCGCACATTGGTACGAAGAATGCAGGAGACCTCGCCTCAGACAGCCTCATTCGACTGAATGATGGCACATTCACTTGGCGTTGTCGCAGTATACGTCGAAGCGGACGTAGACAAATCCGCGAGGTCGTGAGTCGCTTGCTGCTCGGCCGGGTGTGGGCGGAAAAAGGGGATATTCGTAGTTCAAATGTATCTAGAAGAAGAATCAGTACAGGCAGTGATTGGACCACTTACTTGGCTCACAGGAGAACGCTCGTCGCTCGCTCAAAGGCTCTGTGCTTGTGGTGAGAAGGTAAGAAAAGGTAAAATCAAGTTTTCTGTCAATCGGATACAAACGGCAAAAGAGGGATAGCCGCACGCGTACTCTAGCATTTCCAGAGTCCATAGATAATAGGGAAGGATAACTTATGTAGATGTATCTGAAATATAAACATGTCTGAAGAAGTGGAATATCCTAGCTCAAGTACCTCGGCCTCAAGCAAGACTTAACCACCCGGGATATGTGCAAATACGGCATAAGGAGGGTTCGCTGCCCCGATCAGTGCACGAACAGTGGTCCAAGCCATCGTATCTCGAGCCCCAGCACGTTCCGAGGTGGTGTTGTCCGCCACTGACGTTGGCCTTCGCCTCGGATGGGGTAGAGAGGGGAGTGGTGATGGAACAAAACTAGAGAGAGAGAAATAAGCGAATTTAGAAGAGAAGTAACAAACTGGTCTTAGCATGCGACCCGTACCAATCCTTTCACCATTGCTTAAGATAGCTCAATTGTTGGTGAGGCGAGCTACCTCAATATTGGTATCGAGATCTTGAGCCTTGTTGTCCTGAGGCAGAAGTGTCGGTGTGCATGCTCCTCGATCCTAGAGCTATGCATCGTAGCAGGCAGAGAGAGGGTGAACTTGTAGAGAAGAAGTAGCAGTAATATGAAGTAGATGGTGGTGGAAAAGAAGAAAGAGATGTGAAAAACTCAAAAAGGAAGTACGAGTCAGCCGGCCCAAGACGTAGAGTCTACGAGCAAGGCAACTTGTACTACCACAGCGTTCACTGGTTCTCTCCTGCCAAATTAAGACCACTGTCTCTGTCCTCGTCTGTTCAAATCCATTTGATTGTCTACTGCATACTACAGATATCGTCTCTAGTTTGCTTCAGCTAGTTTACTATCCCTCTCCAGGCCTCGGCGTTTTTTTCTCCCAACGAATTGAGGCGATGATATTTCCCTAAAAGCGTATCTTCCTCATTTTTGGCTTTAATTGGACCCATCAGCACCATCATCTGACCGATGAAGCGACATCGGGATCAACCCTGATCATCGCTGTGTAGCCTTTGCACTGTCTGTTATCGTTCAAGTACTCGGTACTCGAGTGCACAGCACTTTCTCTGTGCTGACTTTCTTGAGGTCTGTCTTCTCTGAGCATAGTCACCTGTCAGTCGTTCTCTGCCTTTCCAACTGCTGTCTCTTTCAAAGTCATGTCAGATGACATGTCCCTCATGTGATAGTCCTTCACGTGCTGGTTGGTTTACGGGCTCTCTTTATTCATACGTGCATACTACGACATCGCAACCACCCATAAGGAATTTCCATGGCGCCTATTACTTGCGCGTCTCTCGATCCCTACTTCCTTTGTTCTGATTTCAGTGCTTGCCCAATGGTCCAGAAATGTTATAAAAATCCCGGGAGAGGAAAGGGTGACCGGCAATGGTTCCACTACTCACTCTTGTGCTATTTCTCGTCGCTGCAGTGCTTGCGAGCCCTGCTCATCGACCGAGCAAACGCGGACATTGGTGTTTCCCTGCTCTCGAGTTTGAGATGCCAGATGTCACCCCTGGTTCTAGAGATAACTGGTGGTGTCCGTACGAATCAGAGTATGGGTTCGTAGGGTTCAGCTACGAGGTCACTGCATGTATGATTTTCTCCTGCGATCCTCATGCCCTCTTCTCATCGTCGATATAGGTCAGAGTCTCAAGCAACTCCGACGTGAATTCAAGGACATACGCAAGAGATTCAATGGACGATACGTTCGTATGTACGGCGCATGCGATCGAGAGGGATTCTAGTATGCACTTCCACGCGTCTTTCTTTATCTGCCGTAATTAAGGTCACACATAGCGACGACGTGATCACAGCAGCGTGGGAAGCCAGCCTTGGCGTTCACGCCCTCGTCTGGGTACGCTTCGTCTCTCCCATCCTCCGAGTCGTGCTTTTATGCGTTCTCCTTCCCAGTTCGGCTTCGACGGCTCTGACATCTGGATATCCCGACGCGACACGCTCTTCGCCGCCCTTCATGCCAACCCTTTAGCGCCCTTCGTCATCCGCGTCGTCCAATTCGGGTCTGAGCCTCTTTTCGACGGAGTGCTGAACGCGGATCCAGACGCTCTGGCGGAGCAGGTTTGGGAAGCCAAGGCCAATCTATCAAGTCTAGGAATTCCGGTGACGGTTTCGGATATGGCATATGGCTACCAGGTAAGAAATTGAACAATGTCTGCTTTTTTTGTGAACTGATAAGACCCGCCTAGGAACGTGGGGGTGCGCAGTCTGTTTTGGACGCTATAGACCTCATCGATGCGCATATGCTGCCGTTCTTCTCGCAGAAGGCTTCAACCGGTTCGTTATCCAGTATATTTGAAGCGCTCAGCTAATCGTGGTAACTAGCCAACAATTCGTGGCCTATTGTTCTCACCGATTTGGACTGGTAGGGTTATTCTGATTTGCCCTCGTCGATGTACATTCATATCTCTTCCCCTAGGTTCATTGACAATGGTGAAGGAAAGAAGATATACCTGAGCGAGGTTCGTTCTATTCCGTCAATGATCGTCCAAACCTTATTGACGCCTCACCAAAGAACGGATGGCCATCTGTTACTTCTGAAGGCGTGCAGCCCAATAGCCCCGATGCGGTATCTGATATACCCAACGAACATGTACATCATCCGTGACTATCTCTCGTACCGATTCTAATCTCGTTTGTAGGACTACTATGCGCTGCTCGACTCCAAGTGCGAGTTCTTCAAGACTGTGGCTGGAGGCGGCGTAGGTTGGTTTGCCCATATCTATTCGGATAACCAGGAACCTGGGTACGGGATCTACGATTCTAAGGGGAAGATGAAATTCAATTTTCGTCCGAGGACGGAGTGTTAATTCGGTCTTCAGTAGTGTATTGATATTTAATATATATTCACAGCTAATCATGTAAATGACCCATAGCGCCAACTAATAACCACACTCGAAGCAGTGGGTGAAAATATAGCTTGCTAGTCATTGGTAAAGCACCTCGTGGCTGAGGGTTGGCATAGAGTGATAGACTTGAGGACGAAATACGGAGTTGGACGGAAGAGTTATGTGATCTTGGAACAGAGCAGAAGGGCGGTTTTCCCAAGGTAGAATATTCGGTCAATAAGACGCAAGCTGACGGTCAGAGACGAGCCTGTTGGCTTTAGTGCTGTTTTTTTACCCTCACATGTAGCAATGAGCACAACGGTCCAGATGCTGAATAGCGGGACGCAGTTATTCGACGCCCCCTCAAGTCGAAACGCTAGACTTTGTATACCTAAAAAACAGCCTCCTCCGAATGTGAACAACGGTTTCGCAATTCTAGAGCTCGTAGCAAGCCCAAATCGCTGCATCCGTATTTGATTGTAAAAGTAAATAGACAAGCAAAAATTATCGGCCGACTAGCTCAGTTGGTTAGAGCGTCGTGCTAATATATTGTATTTAACGCGAAGGTCTTGGGTTCGATCCCCACGTTGGCCATACAGCATGGCATCATAAATTTTATATTTGCAGATTCAAGATTTTTGCCCTAGGCCTTCGATATGGGTGAACAAAACTTCTAGGGGAGACTCACAATTATGCACCAGACCCTCTTTGTGTTTTGATATGGTCGTGTGCATTACAAGACAGATGTGCAGCAACTACAGAATTTTTTCAGAATGTTTTTACGCGTTTGTTTGTACAACGTTACAGAACTATGATTTACTTTGTATATAGAATATGAATGCAGTAGGATTGAGTATGTGGTGATTGGACGGTAGCCGTTCTGCTCATATGTAGTCACATAACAGGTAAATGACCTCGACGAAAACCCCAGCGAAGTTATTTTTTATTTATTTACTTTCTTTCCAATGCTGCGCGGTAAAGGCTATCGTTGCTCATCAACTGTGCTCCGATTCTCATCCTCAGGCCTCGGAAAACGTGAAAGGTTACTTGTGGTAGGTTGAATGGATTAGAATGGGATGGAGAGGGACTCGAGTGATACTCCAAATGTGAACAGCGGGTTTAAGCTCACGCTGGATGGTATGCATTATGTAGCCCTGGATCACCCAATCCCTCGTCTTTTCCTAGGGGGATTCCGTGTGGGCTGTCAGCATTGGGATAGACTTCTCTCCAGACAACGATTTTTGCGTGCAAATTATCGACCTTTTCCTGCTTTTTGATCGCACAAGCAGCTGCCGACACTACCCGCATCTTCCCTACTGCGGTATCATTAAACCTCTTCAATTAGCCAACCAGAATAAATATCAAAATCCACCCGTATCTACAAGTACATTATACGTTCAACAACGCCTCCGCCGCCTTCTTCGCGTTCGCTTTCGTAACCTCCAACTGCAACTCCAAGGTGCGGATCTTTTCCCTCGCTTCACGAAGTTCAGCTTTGAGCAGGGCGTTGTCGGGCTGTGGGTGGGGAAAGTGAGAAATTGGAAGAAAGTAAGTGGAGGATCTTACTCACGTCCCCTACAGGCAACGCGGATTTGGCAGGAGCCGGTGCAGAATCTTTCCTCGCTGAAGGAGGAGGTGTCGTCTCCTTCCTCACTGGGTTCGGCTCTGGTTGAGAGTAAGATCTGGACGCCGACATTGGTGGGGCTGTCGGAGTGGAGGCAGAAGCCGGTTGCGAGAATGATAGGGCAATCGATGCTGGGGCAGGGATAGGCGCAGAAGTCGTCTTCGTTGGCGTAGGACTCGCGCCTCCCGAAATCGTCACCGTCTTGCCCGTATCCAGGCTCACCAATTTCCTCTTCACCTCTCCATGTCCGGAAAAGTACTCGCCTGCAGTCAACGATGGCTCTTTCGCTGGTGCTGGCGGGTAGATATCCGACTGGAAGGAACCAGCTTTGCGGGGGACGATGAACGCGATGGGCTCGATCGAGGATCCGTGGACCTTGTACGCTCGTGCGATTTCGCATTCGCTAATGTTGAGGGCTCGTCGAGGGAGGAAACACATGCCTCGCTGGGGGTCGGAGGATTTGTGCTCGGATAGGGCGTGGAGAGAGGAAGATTCGTATTCGTAGTAGCGGATGTTGCCGTCTCCTTTACCAGCTGCTGAGGCATGAGAAACGAAAGGAATGAAAATAAAACAGGGTTGCTCACCAAGGAAGAGGATATTGTTGTCAGACCAAAATGGCATGACGATACCGGCGCTCTGGTCTAGAGCCATCGTCTTCTCGTTTGCGAGACCCTGGCCGACATCCCATACACCGACCTGCCTCTCGCTCATTTTGCTGAACCCGGTCGTCGCCACCTTGCCTAGATCGCCCATCCATGTGACCCTCGCGCCCTTGATACCGCCGTGACCGTCTACAACGCGGATTGCGTCGCCGCCCGCCCTAGAGTCGAATAATCTTAGCTTCCGATCCCTGCATGTCGTCGCCAGTAGGGTTCCCGTGGGGCTGAACGCGATGCTCTGGATAGCATCCGTATGCCCTGACAAAACGAGCTGCGGATCCTCCGTCCTTGCGAGGTCCCACAGTTTGACAAGGTGCTCACCCGACGCGCTCGCGAGGACATTCTCCGCGGTAGGATGGAAGAGGACCTGGCCTACTTTACGGGGACTCGCATCGATCCGCCACACGGGATCAAAGTCTTTCGGTACCCATCCCTCGGCGCCCCAGCCTTCGAACGCGTCGGGGGAGACTTTCCAGATCATGACTTTGCCGTCTTCGCCTGCAGAGGCGACGAGAGAGTCGTCGTGGGGGGACCATTCGGTGTCTAGGACGGGGGCCGTGTGAGAGCGAGCAATGGGGAGCGAGTCGGGGAGTTTGTACGGGACAGAAGTGTGTGCAACGAAAGGGGATGGAAGAGGGAGAATCGCGAACGCTCCTCCTCCAGATGCATTCCAATTGACAGAGATATATTCCGCGGATGCAGAGATAACGTTGGTATCCCAGGCGCTACCGGTGACTTTGACATTTTCGAAGCCGTGGTCCCTTTTTGCTGGTTGTGCAAAGACGTGACTGGAAAGATATCAACGAAATTCGAATATAAGAAAGACAGCGCACCGGTATTTTGAGGCTCTGACGAATCGGGACATGGTGGTTGTAGCGTTGCGAAGGTGAGTGACAAGAGGGGAACTGATCGTCGATAATAGCAGCTGTAAATAGACCACACAGCCACTACAGCAATCGGGCCGTAGTAACCGGAGAAGATGGATGTTGAAGGAAGGTTAGGTTTCAACGAGCATGAATATTTGACGTGACGGTCTAACGATATGTAATGTGCAAGTAATGTAAAGGAGAATTTGGCAGAACCATCGAGTGGTACAACTGAGAATGGCCAATCTATGATACTGTAAGTTCTGATGAGATAAATGAATGATAAAACAATCCTGCCAAGCTGTTTTAGTGACGTGCAAGGTTTGGAGGTCGGTGTGGGTGTGGGTTACAGCCTTTTAAGGGCAGATAACGCACAGCCACAATCAAGCTTCCCACTTTGGCATTGAATTTGCAAATCCCCCTTTTTCCTTTTCCTCAACCATGTTCCTCCGCTCGCTCGTCCGCCGATTCGCGACGTCCGCCACCGAGCCAGTGCGTGAAATTTCTCAATATCAAAACTTACCCCGTTCATCCCTACCCAGTTGCGAAAAACGCCTTTGTACGACTTTCACATCCAAAATGGCGGGAAAATGGTCCCGTTCGCGGGATACTCGATGCCACTTTCGTATGGGGATGTAGGGCAGGGTGAGTTTGCTATTCCAAGTGGAAACGTTGGTCAATCTAACCCGCGTATTCCGGTAGTCGCCAGTCATAATCATGTCCGTAACAGCGTAGGCTTGTTTGACGTCGGCCACATGGTTCAATCCAACTTTCGCGGTCCCACTGCTCAACCGTTCCTCGAATGGCTGACACCTTCAGCACTAGGCTCACTATCTCCGTACTCCTCAACACTCTCTGTTCTGCTCAACCAGAATGGAGGAATCATTGACGACACGATAATAACCAAACATGCAGAGGACGCCTTCTACGTAGTCACAAACGCTGGGAGGAGAGAACGCGATTTGGGGTGGTTTTCGGAAAAGATAGATGAGTGGAATAATTGTGAGAGAGCCAAGAAAGATGGGCCAGTGGAGATGGAGGTGCTGGACGGATGGGGAATGGTAGCTTTGCAGGGTATGAATTTTCCCCTTCCTTCCGCTGTTCTAGCTCACACTTTTCATAGGTCCTCTCGCGGCTACATACCTTCAATCTCTCACTTCCTTCGACCTCCGGACCCTAATGTTCGGCAAATCAGCATGGATTCCCATCGACGGAGGGTACACCCTACACGTTGCCCGCGGCGGATACACCGGCGAAGACGGATTCGAAATCTCTATCCCACCTCAAAGCACAGAGGAAGTTGTCCGAGACCTGCTCACCCGCGACCCCGTCCAACTGACAGGACTAGGCGCCCGAGACTCGCTGAGGTTGGAAGCGGGTATGTGTCTTTATGGCCAGGATTTGGATGAGGAGACTACACCGCTCGAGGCTGGCCTGGGTTGGGTCGTTGGGAAAGAGAGGAAGGCTGCCGGAGGGTTCATCGGTTTTGAGGGTGCTCTGAAGACGCCGACGCGTCGACGCGTCGGGTTGGAGGTAGCGGGTGCACCGGCAAGACAAGGCGCGAAGATATATTCTCCTGGCACGGATATCCTTCTTGGGGCGGTTACTTCTGGGATTCCGTCGCCCACGCTGGGTAAGAACATTGCGATGGGATATGTCAGCGTTGAAGGCGGGAAGCATAAAAAGGGTGCGGAGGTCGAGGTCGAGGTGAGAGGCAAGAGAAGGCACGCAAAGGTCGTCAGCATGCCCTTCGTGCCAACAGGATACTGGAGAGGCTGAAAATGGAGTCGGTGTGATGTAGATGAAGATTCAATCTTCCGTCGTCTTAGAGTCACTGTCCGCAAGTATGCAATTTGGTTTTGGCCCTGTAATGATCCGCTTGACGGGACTTTTGCAAGGCGCCCGGTGAGCCACTTCAGTAAACAGGTACTTTGACACTTGAGTTAGGATGCACTGCCCGACGAAGGCGCAGATTATCGAGGTGCGTGAGATAACGAACACGGGGAGGAAACCGCGATGGGGGTAGAAAGAAAGAAGGGTCGGCAGGTTGGTCAGAGAATGACGCGTTCTTATACGCGTCAGGTAGTCCGTGCACATCGCAGCGCAATTGGCGGGGTATCGGAACGTCGGCACGAAGGGGTCCGGGAAAGTTCTCTCTACAAGACAGGTACTTTTGGCAGGTCATTTAAGACGGTTAGCGACTGACGCCCTTTTATACGCGTCGGGCATAACTGCGTCGGCGCGCCTTGCTGGGGGGAAAAGGGATACATCATGAATTCATCAACGCGTGACGTTACCCATCTATCCCAGGACAAAAGCGATGGGGGAAGGTATGCTCCAAAGACACAATGCAAAACTGAAAGAAAATTTTATTGTAGCTTGTCAGAGGTGACAACCGAGATATCACGAAAGGGTGTAGGAAATATACGCGTAAATTGGAAACAA